TATATATGTATATATTCATACATATATATATATATATATATCTCGTGGAATGCTTGATACCGAGTATCATGAGATTGGTACGAAAGCTTACCACCTCGGATGCCTAGTAGATACACCCACATATCCTCTTTTTCATTTATGGAATCAGATTAATAAATTACACGTGTCTGGGCATGTATATTGATGTCCAGCGTTATTTGGCTCATCCCTGATACTCTGATACATTTATGATATATTTCGAAACTACATGTTCATTATGTGTTCATTATGTATCATGTACATCTACGTTTTTAATCAGAACTGTTTGCGTAACTTTGTGCCCTGTCGCCCACTTGTGTAATTTTAATATTCTTCTCTGTGTTATTTTTTCGCATCATCCCATTCTCAAATTTGAACATTACTCAAATTTCGTACTCCGCAATATCAAATGCCCCAATTGATTCTAGCGTATTAACATCTCTCGTAAATGCTGTGTGTATTTCAGCATATTAAACCCTAGATCATCCTTCTCTCGTACATGTTGTGTGTATTTTAGCTGGATGCCAGCAGTCAGTAACTTTGGGGGCCTGAGTCGTCAGGAGGTTAAGGTGATATCTGCGCAGGTGCTGCTGCCCGACCCAGACATGGCGTAAGTGGGTGTGTTTTGCTTGGAACGTTTGTATTCAGATATGTGGTACAATTTCTGATGTGCGAAGTTACGCAACACTTGCGTTAACATGGGCTACTCTATGCCCACTACAAAACCCCTTTTATAGTGTTTTAAATGAATTAGCGATCCTAGAACCGCGCAAATTTCTTTCATGTACATCATAAACGGATACACTTTTACGGTCCATTGTGAAGTCCACCGCATCCACTCAATCTCACTTGCACTACGAATCACCACAAGTTTGTTGTATGGGAAACGTCTCCAGGCAAAATCAGTTTACGTTGCCCACCGATTTGGTAAATACCCAACTCATTGCGAGACTGTAATTCGAGCTCAATACTTTGTCTTTGATGTGTGTCCCCTTTCTTTGGCGTATATGATATAGGCCACCCACCCTAAACCTCAAGCCCCAAACCATCCCTAAGCCCCAAACCCTAAATTCTATACATTCAACCCTAAACCGCTACTGCATATGATATTGCCATTGAGTTGAGGGTAGTCACTATCTCCATGTGCACTCGATACAAATTCATTCCGAGGGCCTCGCAGTCCCACGAAATGGTGCAGTGATTGCCATTCATTTCGAACATGCTTTTTTCTGTATTGCGCAAGATGTCACAAGTACGTACACATACACACACACACGCACACACACACACACACCCCTACACATACGCACACACACACACACACCCCTACACATACGCACACACACCTGCACATACACACACACACCTACACATACACACAACACGCACCTACACACTCAATGAAGTTCTGCTATGTGTGTCTTACAGAGTCGTTTGGAGATGGCCACTCTGGTGTAATAGTTCCCATACGTACCTACCTGCGTAATCGGAAGCACATATATTCTCTTCCGATGTATAGGGGTTCATATAAACACGCACATCCATATATATATATACATATATATATATATATATATATATGTATATGTATATGTATATGTATATATATATATATATATACATGTATTATATATATATATATATATATATATATAATATGTGTGTATTAAGTCTATGTATTCACACAATACAGAGTTATCTGGAGAGGGCCACGCAAATCCCAACTGGTGCGACAGTTTCTATCTGAAGTTTACTGGGGTAAAATGGACTATCTATTATTTGACACCCCCCCCCGGCACCTCTGACGAGCACCTGACTATAGTCCAAGCTCTCAAGGCCTGCAATCCGGATGGAGCGATAATCGTCACAACTCCACAGGTGCATCTATGTCTTTGCTTACAAATACGTAAATACTTACTCAGAAGCAATCGAAAGCCGTACATGTGGCGTGTATGCCGTTGCCGCCCAAGAGGGTGTGGCTCCTGCGGCCATGCGTGGTGTAGAACGTCTGCAGTGTGTGAATGCGTGCCAGTGCACATTTGTGCACACATGCGACACACATACACGTACTCAAGCATGCACATAAGTAAGTATACACAAAGCACATGATTCGACGCGATGTGTTTATGTGTATTCTAACATATGCGTGTACAGATAAGCACACGCGTTATTTATCTGCATGCACACCTCTAGAGTTCTGCGTATGTGTATCCTCATACACACGCTCACATACACCACATGTGCTTCCCCATCAGGATGTGGCCCTTGCCACTATCCGCAAAGAGCTGAACTTCTGCAGTAAAATGAAGGTCAAGGTGCTTGGCGTTTTGGAGAATATGAGTGGCTTTCAATGCCCGTGTTGTCGAGACGTGTACGATCTTTGGCCCAATGCGAGCGTGGAGAAGCTATGCACCGAGTATGGCGTGCCGTATCTGGGGAAGGTACCTGTAGATCCGGTATGGAGGGTGTACAGACGCACGTGTACCAAGACTTGTGTATGCTAGTGTATGAGTAGAACGTGTACGGGCAAACAGCATTTGCACATAGTTTGATATGTTTGAGGTCGGAAGCACGTACTCCTGCAAAGCCACTCATATGCAAACGATCGTTCAATAGACGCAACTCGGATCAACTGCTGTATGGTTGTCTTCTGTTGTCGTTCTCCTCCTTTGCCAAAGTCTCTTTTCGCAATGTTATGTTGCTCGCATTAACCAAATCTACTTTCG